TTTCTGTGGCCAGGCAAAGATGCTCAACAGTACAACTCCTCTCACTAAATTTATCGTGGCTTTTGGAAACTATCAGCTTTCCACAAAATACGTGACTATGTAATTGAGTTTATTATTACACTTTTTAAGGGAATTAAATATTTTTAAGTGTCAGTTTTAATTTCTAAACAATAAATATCAATAGATAACTCTTGGAGGTCCTCACTATTTTAAGAGTGTTAAGGCGTTCCTGAGGCTCAGAAATTTGAGAACTGTTGTTTTACTGGACCACGCCTGGCTGTGAGAGAAGGCGCTGGCGACTGTCTGACTCGCACTGTGGCAGAGCGGAAAGGGCACCTTCCAATGAGTTCTTACCTGTGTGAACACTCACATTACCACCACCTGGACTGAGGGCGGGCACGTTCTGAGCCCTGTCCCCCCACCAACCCTGTAGGCTCCCGCCAGTCCCTTCGTCGCTGCCCCGGCCCCAAGGGCGACCGCCCTGCTGACTTCTGTCACGATCACCATCCGATCATTTTGCTTCGTCTTGAATTTCGGACCAACGGAGTCCCACCGCGATTTTCTATCTGGCTTCTCTCGCTTGGCGACCGCGCTCTGTGAGAGTCGTCCGTGCGGTTGCGCATAGCAGTCGTTTATTTTTCATCACTGCTGTGCGAACAAGCCACCATCGCTGACCCAGTCTGCGACGTCAACTGCTGATAGGTGCTTAGGTGGCTTCCAGTCTTTAGCTATTGCCAACAAAGCTTCTATGCACATTCTTATAAAGACTTTTGGTGTCTATGGTCTCATTTTATGTTATCCCTTTAAACTTTCATCTTATGCCACAAATCCAGTTTTTCATGGTAAATGTGTCAATACAAATACTTTATGTGGGTTAGAAAAAGGACGTTAGGAAGCTACGGGGCTGCCTCTCTGAAGCTGGAGAAAGGAGCAGCTCGCTGTGGACCGGGGTGGAAAACGGAGCCAGCTCCGAGTCACGTGGGGCGTCAGCACGTCTCTGAGTTTCTCCCCTGTGAGTCTGTGTATTTTCAATAACACCAACGTCTTGAGGTGCTTCCTTCAAACTGCTCTAACACCGACAATAGTATGATCTTCAGCATTTCTGCCAGATCTGGAGTTTTCTAGGCGTAAATTCATCCTGTCCTGGTTGAGAGACAGCTGTCAGGATTTCCCAGCAAGAGAACGTGGCAGTTAGGACGTTGCTGATTCTAAGTTCTCGTAGCTTCCGTGACATCTATCTTTTACGTTAATAATCCTTTGGTCTGAGATGATTCCAGCACCCAGGACAGTATGGACACAGTGGGACTTCACCAACTGTTTGTTGATTGAATGTCAACATGCCGCGGGCTGCGGCAGAACTATAGTGTTGGTGCGCTCCCCTGGGTCATGACGATTCTTCAAGGTTCTTCTCTGAGAACCTTGACCTCAGCTGGGATCAAGGGGGCAGGATCCGACTGCCCTGCTGCTGGCGTCTTGGAACCAGGGTCCCCATGTTCATCTTTCCCCTGTAAAGCCTGCATTCAACTACGCATGTTTGTGAAGCCTCCAGTCCGGGCAGCCTGGCGCGGGCGGCTATTGTACGATTTCTATTTCGATGCACACCTCCGCTTAACAAGAATTTATGTGGGCCTCTTGAGAGAACACACACCACCAAATAAATGTTCTTTTTCCCTTTTGCTCTCATTAGGTAAGTAATTTGCCCATGTTTATAATTTCTTTTTCGTATTTCACACATTTATTGTCACAACGTGCCTCAAACCCTGGAAATCCAGGACTAGCGCAAGGGCCTCGTCAGAGCTTACGCAGAAAAAAATTTCTCCTGTTTCTTCATCACCTTTGGCCTTTTCCCTGTCTAGGCTCAATGGACACACAAGGAAACCCCAGAAGGCAGTCTCTCGCACAGGGTGGTGTCTGCACACCGAACTGGCTATGGGTGAGGTAAGGACCACGTGTGTAGTTATGATCTGTGTCTGTCTCACTTGCCCTTAGCCCTTCCCAATAAACATGGAACTTGCGGCCAAGATGTGCAAGTAAACGGCAGCTTCATTGTACCGTCCAAGAGGGCCCTTCCACACCCAGTGCTCCATTTTCGAATCTCCAGGCTGCTGCTTCTGCACTCAGACTCACCCATGTTGTTATTCCTCTTCCCCGCAGCCCCAATCCCTTACTCCCCGTACCAGCCCAGGAATGCTTTGGACAAATAACAGTAAAACCAACTAACTGCATCTTCAATGATGGGGGGCCATTCTTTTCATACAATGAAAAGGCTGCAGATGGGTGGCTGGTGTTGAGTGGCTCGTCTGCCTTTGTGTTTCTCAGCCTTTCCCTCAAGACTGCAAAATGGCTGCTGCAGTGCCAGGCATTACATCCGAGTTAAAGGCAAAAAGCAAGGAGGAAGAGGGCCTGCAGTTTTGCTATCTTTTTATTTTAATCAGGAAAACAAGACTTTTCTGGAAAGCTTCTGGCAGATTTTTGCTTAGGTCTGACTGGCTAACCGTGACCCAGATACCTCTAGCTGCCAGGAGGACAGGGGATGCAACGGGAAGGCAGCACAGGTGAAAGGGACTGGCAACACCTGGTTACCCCACAGCATCTGCCACATTCTCTTCTCGCCCCACCTCCCACCCCTCACGCGTCGCATCATCTGTCTCTCCTGTTTGAATGGCAAGCCCTCTGTGGATGCTTCTATGTGACTAAATATCTCCCGAGTCCCCTCTTTACGTCACCCACTGTGTCCCAGGAGCGCTGGCCGCCTGTAAATCCTCACGCACAATGTCTTCCTGCTTCCTTTGGATTTGCTTGTCTCTCTGCCTGAGATGCTGCTCACCCACCGCAATCTTCGGCATGCACGAATGGCTCCTTTGCAGACTTCAAGTCTTGGCTTAAATGTCACTTCCTCTGAGTGGCCTTTCTGGACCACTCCACTGCTTTCTCTAGCCCTCATCCCTACTTGAAATTATACATTTATTTGCTCCTGGTTTAGTGTCTCTTTTCCCATGAGACTAAAGGAGGTAAAACTTTCTGTCCTAGCCATGCGTCCCCGTGCCAAGAGCAGCGCCAGGCTCTTAAAAAATATCTATTGAATGAATGAATGAATATGAGAACAGAGAGGAGGGAACGCATGTCCCTAGTTTCAGAACTGGTGGCAGATATTGCCAAGTACGGACTAGGCTCAAACAAGCCCCAAACTTCAGACGGTTCTAAAAGCACTCTTGTTAGGAGAAAAATGCATGTGTGCATGCACACACCCACAACCCAAAACAAAACCAAACCAGAACAAAAAAGCGGAGGGATTTCAAGGCCTAACAAAAATAAAGACACATGCCTATTCCCTGCCTGCTTTTTTGCGCCATGTCTGTCTCGAGGGCCACGAAGCTGGAAAGGGCGGCAGCAGCGGACAGAGAGCAGAATTAATAATTCACGGTTCTCTTTTAACGTGTGTCCTTCTACGTGGGCCCAAGTGCTGCTAGCTTGTGCTCATCAGTCCCCTGTGCGCAGGGGCCTGGCTGTAATTCACACGTAACGCACATGCACACCTTTGTTTGGAAAGGGCTCTGCCTGAAAACCGCCCAGCCTGGCTGGAGGGAGCTCGGCACACACGTGGTTACTCGCCCATGAAGGCCGCCGTGGTCGTCCCTTCTTCGCCCCGGCAACCTCCCACCTTAATATTCCTCCTTCTAAAAGGTCATTTCCATGCAAAGGCCACATCTACTAAACTTGAACACTCCAAGGCCAGCCGTGGATCTCACCTTTGCCACCCTGGGGCTTGGCACCTGTTGGGTGCTTATTAAAGGCTTGTTGTCTTCCTGCCCGAAGGCCGTCATCTTCTGACCTTTCAGAAGATGCTGCGCCTCCCACATGAAGCTTATTCACTCCATTCCTGTCTGAGCAGCCCCCACACTCTATTCAAAGGTCTTCCTAGCACAGGGTCTGTGGCTCTGCCCATCGGCGCCCAGCCCCAAGCCTGGCCCATGGCTGAGCTCTGCCAACGCTGTTCCCCAGAGTCGGGGTCCTTTGGAGGAGTCCCAGCAGGGGCAGTGCTCAGAATGCTGAGTGCCAAGTCCCTGTTCCTGGGAACTCAGAGCAAAGTCAGCTGTTACTTTGTGTGAAAGGAGGTTAGAAAGCAGCTTAAGGACATGGCCTCCGCCCCCGGTTGCCTAGGGAATATTCTGGATTTTAAGAACATCAGTTACACGTGAAGACCTGAGAGCCAGGTGGGTGGAGAGAGAAGCAGGAATCAGTGTCTTCAGAGGCATTGCCCAGAGTCCTCTGGGTAGAACGCCAGACCATTGTTTATATACTTCCTTCCCGGGCCGCGTCAGCGGCCGGGAGATGCCCCTCACCACGGGCTATGCCCAGCCCCTTCTCTGACGGCTGGGTTCCATCCGTCAGCCAGCGTGCTTCTTCGGGGCTGCCTTCTTCCAGATTCGGCTCTGGCCCCAACTTTTGAGCGTGTCCAGGGATGGAGGGCTCAAGCATTTGGCACCCACTGCCTCCTCTGCAGCGCGGCAGAGCTGGCTTATTTGCCTGTCTGGGGGAGCCCAGGGGGAAGTCCAGGGGAGGCGGATGTTGCAGGCAGCGAACGCTGCGAGCTCGATGGCATCTCCCTCCTCAAGGCCCTGGGCCTCGACCGGGGCCCAGGGAGCAGGCCCGGCCTTCTCTTGCCTGCAGAGCCGTTATCAGAACCAGAAGCGGGAATCTGAATAAAGAGAGACAGTGCCCCCTCTCATAGCGGTTTCCAGGCGACACGGTTGTTACGGTCGCTGTCATACAAACCCTTTTCCCGTAAGACAGCAGGTCCCAGGGGAAGAAGGGGTGAAGTGGAATATTTTATCAGCCATGTACATATGTAACCAGAAATGGGGCTGAAAAGCAAAACCTCGTTTCCCTGAATAAGGGGAAACGGGCGGGGGCGGGGAGGGCTGGCGGAGGTCAACGGCGAGCACACGGCTGTGACCGTGGTTTTCGCCCTCTGTGTTGTCTATAAGGAACACGTCCCACAGAAAACTGCTGTGGGGACATAGTTTAAAAGGCACCTTGTTTTTTGTATTTAGAAATAAGAATCTGATATACATCAAAGGTGAAGGGAAAAATACGTATTTGAAAACCAAGCAAAAATGTGCGCTAGGTCTCTTGGTCCCTGGCCCCTCTTCACTCCTGGTTTGCAGACAGGACTTGCTCCTGCGGTGAGCTGAGGTTCCAAGTTCATTCTGCAGCACGGGCCGGTCAGTGTGGTGCTGGCAGGGAGAAAGTCCGGCTTCCCCCTCGGGGTCTGAAGAGGCAGGAGGTTGTCCAGGCACATGGCATGGAAGGGACAGTCTTTTACGCTGTTCTGCCAGTGGCAGCCATCTCTCCCTGGCCCTGGAGAGCGGCATTATCCAACAATCTGAAGAACAAGGTAAAAATAACAATGTGGTGAAACCCTTGCTTTTCCCAGGATTTAGTGTGAAGGTAACGTACCTCGCAAACAGCCACCAGCCCACCACTTGCCAAGGTGTGTTGGGAAGGAGGGTGGTTTATCGGCACGGCCAGGTCTACTGTGCTAGTTGGGGGAGTCAGCGGGGGAGCAGGTGGACCCACAGGCTGTCTGGGAGGCAGGAGTGAGACATTTTCCTGGTGACCGTCTCTAGGCACATTTCCAAAGAACACAGCACAGAAAGGAGCAGATGCAAAGACCCAACACCCTACCCCCAACTGCTCCGCCCAGATGTTCAGGGTGGGGCTCCTGCCACAAGCTCATTCAAAAGTTTGAGATGACTGAAGTTAAGCAAAGAGGGATGGAGAGAGAGAGAGGGAGAGGAAAAGAGAGAGAGAGAGATGAGAAACGCAAGAACCCATCTGGGCAATGCATCACATTGAAATTGCCCCGCATTAAAAATTCACCAGCCAGTGAATTTTCAAGGGATTTGTAGTAATTAGATGACAAAATGCTGGCAAATCTCAGGCTTGCCAAAGATGTTACTCAGGGGTCAAAGACTCGACACTTTCGGCTGGGTAATTTGTAAGTGTCAATCACTCGCAGCCATCAGAGAGAAGGGAGCGAGCTAACGGCTGCATTCTAAGTAAGTCCAGACGCAGACTCCAGCCCGCCGTCTGCCAGCAAACCCCAAGACCCCGGCCTCACCGCTTGGGCACAGAGAGCGGTTGGGCCCTGCCTGGGGCCTCGAGCCGTGCAAGCCAACCCAAGTTTCCCACTTCTTGTTTGATTTTATTCTTTCAGGAAAGCAGTGGCTTGCAGAGAGTCACCATCCCTCCTTGGTGGAGGAGAAAGTTTCCCATGGCCAGCCACCAGCAAAAGGTGCAATGGGGCGTTCGTGCAGGGGACTGATTTCCTGGCCTCGATATCTAACCCCAGGCCTCCGTCTTCTCCTTGGTGAAGCTGAGATAAGGCTCAGTTCACAGGGTTGTTCTGACCATAGGAGGAAGAAACTGCTAATTACCTGACGGATTCCTTCACTCAGTACCTATATGTCTTTGCCCCAGACGCTGGTTCTGAGGACTCAGCAGCGACCAAGATAACATACCTGCCCTTGTGGAACTTTCTAGTTGGGGAAGAGATTGAAGGAACAATAAACAAATAAATAGAAAGCATGTTAGGTGGCAACTGCTAAGAAGAGAATGAGTCAACTTTGAAGACGGTGGGAGGGAGGCCTCCTGGATGAAGCCATACCTGAGCAGAGGCGTGGAGAAAACAAGGGGCAGAGAGTACTCAACAGAGGGACCTGCAGGCAAAGCCCTGAGGGCTGGCTTGGAGGATTCTGAGAACTATCATCAAGCTGGAGACCGGTGGAACAAAGGTGGGTGGGGATGTGGTGGGTCTCGCCCCCACCCCCCACGCCTTCCAGGATTTGAGACCCCATGAAGCCAGACTCAATGCAGCCCCATCTGGATGGCCCCTGGTCAGATCTGCTCCCACAGCCCTGAGGGGGAGGGACAGCACCTGGAGATGCCCATATGTGGCATCTGGCCCTGCCTCTGGGCCTGGCCACCCCTGGCGAGAGGATCTCATTCCAGCTGCGTGCACCGATTGGATGTAAACTGCATAGGGACAAGGGAGCCTGAAGGTCAAGTGATGCTGTTGGGATGGTGTTGCCCAGGCGGGAAACAGGTCCCCAGATGATGGGTACAGAGGCCTTTCTTCCCCTCACTGCTCCCGCTATCAGGGTATTTCTTAGAATGGGCACTTGCTTTGGAGTCAGGCAGACCCTGGGCCCTGGAGCCCGACTCTGCCATTTCTAAGCTGTCTAACTCTGGGCAAACTAGTAGCCTCAGTTGCTGCATCTGGAAAATGGGCAGGGGAGACGCTCTCCCATGAACAGACAGGCATTAATACGAATCAGGCTCAGGGGCGGTTCTCAGCAGGAGCGTGTCTAACTCTAACACAGCCCTGACACATGAGACAGGGCCAGACTCCAGCTGGCCCCCTGGGCATCCCAGTCCGGAGAATTCCACAGCTAAAGCACACTTTAGGAAGATGCACCCCTCCTAGATTTAGGGGGCAAGCCTCTGTTTTAAAAGATAAAACGCTGGACCAGGGTCTCTTTGCAGTTTGCTGCACAGCGGGCTGTGTGCTGGAAACATTTATGTAGTTGGTGGCTACTCAGGCTGGGTCCAGGGAGGGGCCAGAGCTGGCCTCTGTAAATCACGTTCTCCCTGGAGCACTTGCTGGTTATTTCACATTTGCTGTGGGTGGGGGCAGCGCCCAGCGTTGGGTATATTTATTCCCTCACCCGCCTCCTTCCCCGGGCCTGGGTCTCCATCCCAGCGAGCTTCTGCTGCAGGTTTAACTAGGCTGTGAAACTGCTCAAGGGGAAAATGAGAAACTACCCAGTGTCTCCTGGGAGGCAGTGGGCCGGGCCTCCCAGACTCCGATGGCCAACCCTCACCGCCCTGCAGGCGGGCGGAGGGGACTGGGAGCCCTCGGATGGACGAAGACGGAGGACGGGAGGCAAGCGCCCGCGGCACCCACTTGAGATGCAAATAAAAATTAGCAGCAGCTGCAAGTCGACTCATCTATTCCCCAAGGCCCCTCGTGAATATTGCCTGTCTTTGCAGTTTAGGCTGGGAATCTGGAGCTGACCTGGCATCTGCTTAAGAATCGATGGGACTGTGGATAGGAAGCCAAGGAATGACGACGGTCACTATCGCAGTGGGGTTCACTGAGCACTTACTGGGTGCCAGGCACTGTGCTCGAGTGCCTGGCCAGCCTCTCCGCGGTTTGTCCTCGCAAGGGCCCAGTGACATGGGCAGTGTGACTGTCACTTCCTCAGCATGTGGCCCCCCATTTGCTCTATCTTCCAACCCTTCCTCTCTGCCTGACATGGTGTCACATGCGTCATGGACGGGCACAGGCTTGTTTGTGACGAAGGCAGATGCCTTCGTCGTCTCCCTGGGCCCCGGAGGCCGTGGCTTTTGAGCCACCTGTGTGCTGCCCCGGACCAGAGAACGTGCCGGTGTGGACACTGACTACAAGCCCTGGCTGCTGTCTGGCCAGCAGAGGTGGCGGCTGTGTTGGGCGCACGGATTTCTGGAGGCTCAGCTGCAGATGACCGCAGAGCCAGGTGTCCAGGCTCCCGACCCCCCAACCCCTGCACACGATCACAAGCCACAGCCTTGCCCCACCTGAGCTGGGAGCCTCCGCGGGCTCCCAGGGCGCAGCCCCACCTCAGCGCTCTGTCTGCTCCCCGCCGGGGGCACAGCTGCATCTGCCTCCTTCGCTATGGAGCTCGGGGCCCGGCCAGAGGAAGGTTCTAGTAAGTGCTGTGCTCAGTGGACAAACACACTGGCTCTGTCACAGGCCTTGGCTGGTGGCCTGGGACTTGTGGTTGAGATTCAGGACCTGGCAGGGTCACCCTGCCAGCGTCTGCTGAGCTGGGTGACTCTGCGAAGCCTCTGAAGTCCAGCCCCGAGCCTCAGTGTCAACTGCAAAATGGGGGGGAAACGGCAGTGCCCATGGGTCACAGGGCTATGGTGAAGACTCGGTAATTGATCACTGGACTTAATTTTGTCACTGAATTCTGAGGGCTTAGAGCTGGGCTCTTAAAGAAAGATGGTGGCGGCATTAGGACTGAGCCCTGCCCTGAAAATCCTTCCAAGATGCACCTGGAGAGCTGGACCGGCTCTCCCGCCACAGGCCCCAGCCGGAGGCCATCTCGGAGCCTGGCACTGCAGCGCGGGGGGTGGGGACAGGGTGCGGACCACAGGCTGCGGGCTCCAACTCCGGCTCAGCCCCGGAGCTGGGTGGCTTTGGGCAGGGCACCGGAGCTCTCTGGGTTTCTGCTCTCTCGCGGGAGGCGAGGGTGGAGGATGAGAGGGGTCAATACCGCACGGAGAGGGCAGTGATGACGGCCACATACCAGGACGGTGGACAAAGCTAGGCTAGAATGGGGAGGCCGGGGGAGGGGGGGGCCCTCACCCGATGCCCACGGTATGTCCGGGGCTTTGGAGCCTTAGGTAGGGCCATGGCGCAGAGACGTGCGGTATCTGGCCCGAGTCACACAGCTCGGAAATAACCCCCCAGGCCTGCTCAGTGGATCCTCTGTGGGCACTCCTGTCACCCCCATCTCACAGAAGAGGAGACCAAGGCACAGAAAGGCCAGGAGACTTGGTTCCAAGGTCACAGAAATCGTAGGCCATGGAGCTGGGACGTCAGCCCAGAGGCGGGGCTTCCTCCCACCCAGCTGCCCCTAATTCAGGCACTCTGGCCCCAGGGAGGACGCGAGCTCAGCACCACAGGAGGTGCTCGGAGCCGGCCTGGCCTCCAGCCCCGACCCTCAGGACCAGGCCTTCCTTGCTTGGTGGTAAGGGCCTGTCCCAGGTAGCCCATCTTTCCTGGGGTTCCTGGCTCGCCCCCACACCCGTGGTCCGGAGAACCCAGCGAGGGTGGAGAGGGAACCTGCGGGGGTCCTGTGGCCCAGAGTCCGCTCCCAGCCCCCGCCACTGCGTGCCGGCTGCGGCCTGGGGGGCCCTCAGGACCACTCTGCTGCCTGCAGCCGGCTGTTGGGTTTTCCAATTCTGGTCACATCACGCCCACACCTGCCCGCCGCTGCACGCCACTGCCATTCTCTGTCCCCGGACCCAGTTTGGGGTGAAAGCCTTGCTTATTAGTCAATCTGGATCCCACTCACTGTGAATTACCAGGCCTGATTGATATTCATGAGTGGATACATTTGAAACCTCACTTGGCTGCCACGTGACCCCGCCTCAGGGAGGAGGCTGCTGTGAGGACGCGGGGACCTGAGCAGCCCAGACATGCAGCAGAGCCCCCAGATGGGGACAGAGCCCCCTGGCTGACAGCCGTCTGTCCCCAGTGCTGGCTGGGACCGGCAGGTGCCAGCAGGGTTTCCCAAGCGGGGCAGGTGACAGTCCTGGCCCTGGGACCGGGGG